CACACACACACACACACACACACACACACACACACACACACACACACACGCACACACACGCACACACACACACGCACACACACACACGCACGCACGCACGCACGCACGCACACACACACACACGCGCACACACACACACACACACACAGCCATCTTTTTTATTTTATTATTGCCTTGCTCTTAATTTAAGTGAAATCGAACATAATAAACCGTGACTTTTTTGCGGTTAATTTTTGTATCACTATTTATTTTATCCATGCCAATTTATGTCAGAACGGCGATCAAAAAGTTATTTCTATAGTCATCTAATTCACTCTTTATCCCAAAAATTTTCAGTTTTACATAAAAAAATTAATGCACTAGCAAAACTAAAAAAAAATCGAAAAAACTCTGCTTTTTCGGCAACATGTTAGGTAGGGGAGATCGAGGCCATGTGTCCACACTTTACACTTTTTTCAAGTTTACCAAAAAACTAATAAAGATATTTGACTAAAATTTTAATGGTATAACCTTTCAATCTTCTATTATCAATCTTCTATCTTCAATTCGCTATTTAAAAAAGTAATAATTAGAATCGTTGATCTTTTAACATTTTAAAGAGGCGAATTTTTTAAGTGGACAAATCAAGCGTAGACAGATAGCCCCATATGCGGGGCTATCTGTCCACATTCGAGGGGCTATCTGTCCAGATAATAAAAAACACATTATTTATAATAATTTTTATACTTATTTATATAATATTATTCATTATTAATATATAATATTGAAAAAACTGCCTACTCGTTGGAGTCAGAGAAGTAGCAGACAGTTTGTGTAGATTTTTTGACAAGTTTCCTGCGTAGAGCTGACTTTTCTTTATATACGATAGCATCAAATTGATTTTGAGTCCGTTGCAAAATCAATGTGATGAGTTTCTTTTGTCTCCTCAATTCTTTAACTTTTTTTTTATTTGGAGCCTTTACTTTATCTTCGGCAGCGTTTAAAATACTCATTAATTTAAGACAAACTCATATATTTAACTTGACGTGTATTTTTATAATAAAAAATTGGTGACGAATCTTGAATCGCAGAATCAAGTAGTTGCTCGTAGGTCACTTTTTTATCACTTTTTTACAGTAGCGAGTAAGAGCCCGAACATTTATTCCAAAGTCTAACGCTGTTTTTATGAAAAAATTCTCGCTCAATTTTTATTCTTTTAATCGCTCTAAATATAATTTTATTAGATATGTCTACCTTATCCGTCTTAAGGAAAGTTTTTCTTTTGTAGTTACGCACTATTATCTATTTATAAAAGAACAATTCGTCATTGAAGTGTGGACACATTGCCCCATCAAAAATAGGACAGATAGCCCCAACCACGTTTTTCGGTCTTTAACATGTTGCCAATTTTAGATAATGCGAAATTAAGATTTGATGCTTCTCACACCTGATAACTACAGATTAATTGATAATATTATAAATCATAATAATATTATGAATTGCTTACTTTAATTTGAAATACTATCGCACAGCAAATTTTTCGATCGTTGAAAAATGTGAATAACTGTCTTCGCTTTTCTTTTAACGTATATAACGTCTGCGAGAGGCATTGCAAGAAAACAAACAACATTTAAATATCTTACGTAGGGCATTTTTCAACTACTTGTTACAATGGTAGAGACATCTGTCTCTTAAAACTTGAGATAGCAGATATTGTGGACACATAGCCCCCGTAGACAGATAGCCCCGGTCTCCCCTATGCTTTTCAAAATCTTCACAACGTGTTACATTTAAACGTTTATAATTATGTCTGTGTGTATAAGAAAATGTTCTGACTTTTTTAAAAATTTTTAAAATTGTGGGTCATTAAGCTCGTAAAGTTTTAAAAAATCTACCGCTTGACTCGTATCACTTGACGTAGTACAACATACAATTTAGCCCGCAATTCGCGGTCTGATTTTATTTTTTTTTTTGCGGCCTTGCTTCCTACTTCCGCTTCCTTTTTCGAGGCACGGGAGCGAATTTAATCTCATTAAGTGCCGAAGCTTCTTGGTTTCGTAGCCGACGCCGGCTGCGCGGCAGGGTTTCCATTATCCGCTGCGTTCTCGTATGACCGGCTTTCGGCAGGATAAATGTAATTAAGCTGCGATCCGGAGTGGCCTAATTGCACAACTTATTACTTCGTCAAATTATATTCGTGCTTATATACGCGCTCGTGATTTAGCCTGATGATCTATGTAATTCAATGATCAATAAAGGTCGGTTTTTTATTCTAATTTAATTGTCAGTAATTATTGGCACTTGATAGGATCAACCATTGGCTCGAAAAACACTCTTTTTCCATCTACAACTTTTATGCGAGTCCACATCAATATATTATTAAGTTAAATTAAAGGAAAATAGACTAGCTGATATACTTTCATTCAGAAGACATTACGCTAAATAAATTAGAAAGCCGATAACGCGGCAAATATTAAATATGCAGACTATCGATCAACCCCAAGTGAACCCAAGAGTAACCCATCGATATTTGAACTGTAAAGAGCTTTTTCGAAGACAACGATTCTCTCCGGGAAACGAGAAGTAGGTTGGAGATGCAAAAAGTCTAATGGATAGAAATGAAGCGAATGAGAAGAAGCGTAACGGGAATTATCCGTGAATCATTTGGAAAAGCTCAAAAGACTCGGCAGCGCGCATGAATGAGCCCTCGGGAATATCAACAATGAAACCCGTAAGAGCAAAATTACGTAGAATGGTGGGTGCGAAGATGTCGGTCGGAGCTTTTGTTTCGCCGGTTTGTTCTTAAGAAAAACGCTTGATTAATCTCTACAATCGATTTATTCTGAGTTTAAAAAATCATGCACATTTTTTTTATGATGTTGGCTGTAAGCAATTTCTGACTTGACATAAAAAATCGTGGAGCACATAACATAATTATGTTAAACTGCTAACATTTTTGGCAGTCAGGTTAAAATAGAATATCAAATAACATAAAAATGAGATAATATTAGATATTAAAATGATTTGTTTAAATATCTTTTTGTAAATTAAGATATTTCTTTGAGACTCGATATATTGTAACTTCTCGCTACGACAAACTCCGATTTAAAAAAAATCCGAAATTTTGCCAAAGATATAATTAAACTGTCAATCTATCGTGCGCCTTAATAGTGTCGCATACATAGAAAAAAGTGTCAAATTAACACTGATATACATGTATATATATAGGTACTCAAGAATATATAATCTTATAAGAATTTCAACTTTTTATTTCAATTTTTTTCTTGATTAAACTATATAAAACTTTATTTAACTGCACAAATAACTCACTCAAGCAAGTTTTCTTCCTCTATATAAAATATATTTTTTGCGTATATACAAGTACATCAGTGTTGATTTGATATTTGTGTATACTGTATAGTGTACGTCAGAAAATTGAGTAAACGCTTTACACGTGTAACTAAAGATTAACTTTATTTTATCGCACATATGGATTCTTACCTTTCCATTCCACATAGTCGCACGGGTGGTCGAACAGGAAGTTCTGGAAGCTGTTGCAGTCCGGATCGACATGCGGTTCCCTGCAGAGGCACGTCGGTCGGAAGAAAGTGAAAGCCTGCAGGGTGCGCAGAGCCGCCTGGCACTTTTTCACCGTCACCGTCGAGCACGCCACTGTAACCGCGAAATTATTATTAAAGCGATGCAACAATGTTACGGCCGGGTGACAAATAGCACGTGTGAAGTTAACACGCGATACCGGCCATCGCGCACAAATTGGCTTGACAGCGTAACGTATAAGCCGCATGACTAATGGCGTACCAAATATAAGTTGTTCTATTGTTTGATAGAATTTATGTAAAATTCCCCATTTCGTCGACGGGGAATTACACGCTACACTTACGCTTTCAAATTGGTACATACGCGACGGTTTTAAACCGATGCGAATGCGCGAGCGCGAAAAGCCGGCAATACGATAACGCATTCTCGCGGGGATATTTTTTTTTTTTAGAGCGAGCCTCCATTCTGCAGATTGTTGTAAAACGCAATGACGCGAGATCTCCGTGGAACAATTAATTTCTCGTTCACTCCCGTTTTGATGTTGATTTAAACCGTTTTCGTCGACAACAATCGAAAATCATAGAGTGCAAAAATAATTTGTTAAGCTGCTGATGTTTTCTGCGACTATATTGAAATGAAACTGACAAATAACACGTGCATGAAAACGGGTCAACAAGATTAAAATTACATTAGATAATTAAATAAATAATTTGTTTAAATATTCTTTTATAGATTAAGATATTTCTTTACATAATATAAATATAAAATATTATATATTTTTCAGTCTAGGCAATATGTAAGGCTATAATTAAAAATATATTTAATAAATAATCATAAATATATAAAACAAAAATACTAAAAATTTATATTAGTATATATTTTATAAAAAGTAGATGTTTTTATTATAATTATTACATAGCGTGATATTTATACAGCGTGATGTATAGAATGCACATCAAGCTATTAGAAAGATGTAAATGTTACATGGAAACTTCGGATTACGTTGAACATTCCGTCACATGTGCGTGTGCGTACATATGTATATTCGATATGGATTCAAAATAATCACGAAATTCGGATGAAAGTAATTATGCAATGCCCGAATAAATTTATCAACAATATCGTACCACGTTGTGATGTAGCAGCAACAATTATTTGTCACAGTACACATTCGTGCATTAATCGCGGCGCAACTAGACGGTGACATTAATGTATGCCATTATTACGCAGCGTTCGTGTGCAATGTGTGGTTCACTTAATATATTTATCATTCAGTCAGTCAACATTCTTAAGATATACAGGGTGAGGAAAAGGTATCGGACCGGTAGTATATCTCGAAAACAAGGCATTTGAGAAACAACATGTTACATCAAAAGTTGTAGGATTTCAACAAATGCATCCAACGGCGATATACCCATTTGATTTTGAATGCAGTTATGAAGGAGATCTCGCAAGATTAATTTTAAAACCTTAAATAAGAACCCTCATTTTTTATTCGATATTCTTCTAGCTGACATCAAGATTTTTCCAAAATAATACAATAAAACTCCTTTTGATTAAATATTTTTCGAGATATGGGTTGATAAAGTTCAAGTAGCTAACATTAGCATTACCCAAGCTGTAGGTCACGCGGAGATTGCCCGGTTGGATTTACATCTCTTGTGTGTGTGTGTGTGTGTGTTTTATTTCAATTGCTTACAATTGAAAAAACAATAATTATCCGTGTCTAGAACTATTTCATTATTTTTCTATATATAAGAATCTTCAACCATCCTTTAACGTTCAATTTTACATTAATATGGTAATGATATGTTTCTCGCTTCTTCAGACATTAAATGATTTTTAATGCACCATCTTCCTCTGAGATAATTTCGATGCCCTAAACGTTTTCTTTTAAAGCTCTTCCAGGTTTCATTCAAGATTCAAGCGCTTACAGCTTAATTAGTACAACGTCGTTCGGAGAAAGAATGGAAGTGAGAGGGCGCCTTAATTATTATCCCGAGACACCGTAAGTTTCGTAATAACCGAGCGTTGCCAGACTATAAGTAATGAATCCAGATGTCGGCGTTACCGTTGATGTCGACGTTGTCGTCGTCGTCGTCTTCTTCGTCGTCGCTGAATGTCAGACAGAAAAATGACGGAGCAGCAGCGCGAAAGTTTCAATTACATTCTGATGTTATCACCTGACGCTTCCTTGCCCCTCTTCAATTCATTCCATCGTTTCCAATGTTCAATCTTATCCCGGACACCGTCCCGCACCCACGTCCTTTCATTAAACACGAAGCAGGGCACTTAAAAGGGAATATCTTCGGTAGTTTGGAACTTACAGAACAAAAAGTTTCTGCGAGGAGTTTCAGGGGCTAATATTGTGACAGGAGAGTAATCTCTTACTGGGTCAGCTGTTCCGAGCCTTCTCGAAAGGAATACTAATTTACATCGGTCTTCTGGCAAGATGGATTGCGCGATTTCCGACGTGGCGGCTAAATTGGAAGATCAAGAACTGAGAAATTTATTAATTAACACATACGCACACATTTAAAGAGGATCAATAGAATCTTTGAATACATTTTCTAACGCAGAAATCGAGTATGAAAAGCAAAGTGTGTTATCTGGACTTTGAATAAAGGATTATTAAAAAATTATCTACAAATAACATTATCCGAACAAAATATAATAAAGATCAATGAAAAGTGTTAGTTTCTCATTAATAACAAAATTACTAATATTTCAATCAAATGGCAATCCTTAACAAAATTAACAGTTTTTAGAAAAGAAAATTATAACAATAGTGCAATATTATTGCTATAACACAAGTTTTAAGTATTTTAATACTCATAATGAAAAATATATAAAGTCACAAATTAATTTTCTGTCTGAAACTTTCCTTTCATTAATTAGCAGTCCATTAATAGTTTCAAATAACTATTTTGATTTAAGTTTTGATAAACTCAATAATTACTTTCCGTTACACTGATTCTTGATAATTTCTTAGACAAGTCAATCTATTATTCGTAACAATTATATCGAATATTGCATTATAATATACGAACTTTCTGTTACGAATCGCGAGGAATATTTCCGAAATTAATAGCGCTTGAAGGGCATATGCGATTTCTGTATGCAACCGCAAATAGAAGTTATCTCAGTGACTTGACGTATTTATTGAAATACTTACAGGTATTTACGTGTGAATTTCCATCAAGATTGTAAGAGTATAATCGGAAATTTGTTAAAATAAAGAGCACCGTAATACGACTAAATGGCTGCTACGCAAATAGTAACATGCGGAATAAAACATGACGGACGAGAGAACATTTCCGACAAATAATGCTAATCCATTATACCGTTTGAAAGAAAATAATTGGCAGAAATAATTAAGGATAATTGAAATATAAACCGTGAGATTTATTTAAAGAAATTAATCACGGAAAGATATTAAGAGAATTCAATTGATTTGCGGAAAGAGATATTTTGTGTGTGTATTTATTGACAAAAATATTATCGAAAACAACGGATTGACAATCAGATCGTTATGGTGGTTATTTTTATATATCATTTCAAATATTCAATTTCCGCTGCTTGAGGATATTCTTATAGATTTCCAGGTTTTAGAAAATGTATGATGTCCATACTCGCAAAAGTGTGTTATACAGTACACAAGCACACAGATGGGGAGAAAAAAGCTCTGGGACGAGGCAAACAATCAGCCGCTAGGAAAGTCGGGAAACAGACTTTTCATTCTCGTGCAGCGAGCGCGAGAAAATATGTACGAGAGCACAGCTTTGAATTCGGCGCTCGACTATCACTTGCAGGCACGTAACTGTACCTGTTTTTGACGCGTTTGTGCTTTCGAACAGCTGTAATAATTACAACCAAAATTATCGCAATATTGCGTTCACAACATTTTTAACTCACTTGCTGATTGAACAAAAGTTACGCGTTTTACAAACGCTTTTGCAAAATTTATTTTACCAATGTAGCAGTGCGTTAACCGTTTTTCATACATATATTCGCATCACAATGACTAATAATAAAAGATAGAATAATATAATAAATATTTAATAAATGTATCATATTAAGTAATAATAAAGTAAACGTAAATAGAGCAAAGATGAATTTCGATAAGCAAAATTATTTCTTTCTTTATAGTATTTATATTAGTATTTAATAGTAGGTAGTGATTTGTCTTTAATAAGTTATTAGAGTCTCGTTACACAAGGAGTATTATTCCTAATAATATACAAAATTGTATGTTTTTAAGACTTGCACGTCGATTTAAATTTTTTTTGCGACTTTTCTGTACAATAAATTCTGCTTTTTTTCAAATTACTTTTAGTTGTATTTGTCGAATAATTTTTATATAGTATAGACACTTTTCTCGAACGGGACAAGTACAATTTCCGTTATTTCCGCACAAGAGTTAAAACCCGAAGCAAAAATTTCTTGCCGAAACAATGTCGAAAATAAATAAGGCCCCGACTCTCCGTCCCACGAGGTCCTGCTCCGCTTTAATTATCGGGGTGTGTATCCGGGAACATCCTGCGGTGATGAACGGCGCCGCGGCTCCATAAAAAGCGCGAGCGTTCCAGAATCGTTCTACCGTGAGCTATAATTCATGGATAGGAAAAAACAGTATCGGAAAAAAGTGTGCCGGGAAAGAGGAGAGAGAGAGAGAGAAAGAGAGCGGTTTCGGGAAAAGTTGCAGTCTCCGCGCCGAAACTGACGACGCGTATTCTCTCCTCGCGGGTTCGCGCTATCTTCCTCCCGCACCGACGCTATTGTGCTCGAGGGTCGTGCATGCCGCTTTGGCATAACAACGTACATTGTACTTCCGAACAATGCTATCCTTCTGTCAGCCTGTATAACCACCTCCCCTCCCTCTCACCCAGTATCGCCGTCGCTCTCCGCCTTATCGCGTGGCGGGCGCTCATCCTTTTTTTTTCCGAGCCGGGCTTTTTGAGGGAATAAACGACACCACGATTGACAGTTAAGGAGGGTGCGAATAACTCGTGTCATTTCGAACAAGCACCATAAAATCGAAAAATTGATGAGCTGACCTTAGGGGTTATTTCTTTAATTTCCTGATGAGAGGTGCTTTCGCGATCCGATATAAT